AAACTTTGCTAACCTGTCTTTGGTATAGAAGTGTCAGCTGTGATCCTTTGACAGACAAACTGTCAAGTCTTTCCACACCTACATTACCCCAAACTGTAGGACTGTGGAATTTGAACCACACCAAGGGTAAGGAGACACTGATTACATCTCGTACAGGAGGAGTCTGCCCAAGTCATTTATTTTTTCCCCATGAAAATAATAGGAATTATTCCTTTTATGTTCCAGAGTTCTTGTCAAGGCTATCTGAAATAATGTATAGAGGAAAAAGTTACACAAACTGAAATGTTAAAGTGGAGATATTTCAGGATTTTTTGTATACAGAATTTTAAATTATTGGTATTTACAGATATATCTCCATTTAAAATTAGATGACCTTAACTTTTGATTACAAACTGATTTTCATAATTAAATCATTTAAAATACACTGGAAGGACTCTGGAGAATCATTTAACATTTTATTTGGCAGTTTAATTGGCACCAATGAGTATGATTTTACATATAAAGATGTTCTGACAAAAGATGTCTGTTATACAGCTTTGCTTTTCTAACCCTCAGTGTGTGGAAATCATCAGAGCTGAAAGCACACTGCCTTGTCCCTGCTGTTGGTGACATCCTGTCCACACTAGGCTTTTCTTCTTACACGTTTTAGGATAAAGTACTTATTGTTACAAGGAAAGTGCCCATTGAGTCAGAAAACCTTGGAAGTCATATTTAGAAGTTTAGAAGTATATGGAAGCCAGAGTACCTGCCTAGAATTTCCTGGGGTTCAATTCCCAGTACTTAAAAAAAAAAAAAAAGGAGGGCTGGGGATGTGGCTCAAGAGGTAGCGTGCTCGCCTGGCATGCGTGGGGTGCTGGGTTCGATCCTCAGCACCACATAAAATAAAGATATTGTGTCTACTGAAAACTGAAAAATAAATACTAAAAAGGAAAAAATGTATATGAACAAAGAAAATCCATGAATAATTCAAGAAAAGAATGGGAAAAGAAAGCTTATGCATTGTCTGGAGATTTAAGAGTATATAAACAAAACCAAAAAAAATCGCCCTCATTACTAACTCCTACATACATAAGCTTTTTATATATTTTGACATATATACTATAAGTAAGCACTATTGTTCATAGCAGGAAGAAAGATGAGAAAACACACTTTTTCATATACTTAAATGCAATTAGCTAATTAAAATCTGAGTTTCAGGACCCATGTGCATTAGTAAAATTAGGGGATCTATTTGTAGGTATGAAATAAAAATTGAGCACATTTATTTAAAAACTTCTAGAAATTCAAATATTTTTTATATTATTTTAAATAATAGATTTAGATCCTCTTAATTTAAAAACTTAGAGAAGAAAAAAATTAGTTTGTGAATAATCCAGTGGTCCTTTACACATGAGGTCAGATAAAATTAATGCACATTGCATACTCTTTGGGCTAAGGAGATGACCCAGAATCCAATCAAACCTCTTTGTCATTTTCATTACATCAAATACAGAAAGACTAAAACAAAAATAAAAATACAAAAGGATTAAGATGCCTGTGGATATAGTTCTGTATTAAAAATCACTTCTTATTTAAAGGATTGCACCTAGAGAACCTGATGTCTTAGAATATAAAGGTTTAGTGTGATTTCTAATGTCAAAAATATTTGAGATTTATAATTAGTAAAAAGAAATCTATGGAAATTTAGCACTGGCTGAACAGTTTATATAAAAGGTACTCTTAAGAAATATCAAAGTTAAGAGTTTTATGACATCATTTTTTTTCTGAAAAATAATCCAAGAACATTGAAACTTACGCATGTTTGCAGACATTCTTATCTGTTTATAAAGGTTATTTGGAAATCTGTAACTTCAGTCATTTCTGCCGCCTTTGCTTGAGTGGAATATTGCATAATGGAGTTAATTTAGAGAACAAGAACAATATATAATGAAAGTGAGAGTATTCTTTCTAAGTTCAGCCAAATTAAGAGTAGCCAAAGTCAACAGCTCCTCAAAATGGGTTCAGAGTCATGAGTACCATGTGATTAAAGCCTCTAATGTCTCATTACTTTCTGTAGCTTTTCAATTTTAAAAAGTTGTATACTCTCAATTTGCTGTGGTTAAATTTCATTAACACCTCTTTCACATTCCTGGGATATCCATAGTAAAATAACAGATAAATAATGTGGTATTAATTCCAAACTAAAATACCAATGTCTAAAAATATTAAATTATTTGAAATTATTTTGAGTAGCTATTATACAGTCTAGCACTATATTACCTACATAAAAAAAAGAAAAACCAAACTGTATGCAATTAGATTACATGACAAATGACCAGCATACCTTTGGTTATTTCAGAGTAATCAAATAAGAGGTACTAAACAGATTAAGGTATTTCTATTACATCTTCCTTAGAGTGGTACTCTATCTCCACGTCTAGAATAACATCACTTATCATAATTTGCATGCAAAAAATCTCAGGTATTTCACACACTGTTGGTTCTTCATGAAGACTTTCCATAATTGTTTTCACCTAATACTATCATAAAGAACTGGCAGGACACTTCATTGACAGCTGCAGATGATACTACTCTGGCAAATGAATTGAGGCTGACACTTCTAGAATCTTTTTATCTTCCTCCTTTTAAAACCCAATCAAAATGTACAATGGGTCTGGGGTGTAGTCCAGTAGTAAAACACTTCTCTGGCTTCTATCCTCAGCAGCTTGCAAAAAAAAAAAAAAAAAAAAAAAAAAAGGAAAGAAAAGAAAAAAAGTTTCATCAACTCTGTTGGCACTATTCTGAGTTTCTCATCTTAAAAACATTCTTGGGCTGGGGATGTGGCTCAAGTGGTAGCGCGCTCGCCTGGCATGCATGTGGCCCAGGTTCGATCCTCAGCACCACATACAAACAAAGATGTTGTGTCCGCCAAAAAATGAAAAAAAAATAAATCCTGAAATTCTCCCTCTCTCTTAAAAAAAAAATTCTTTCACTATCCAGAAGGTTCCATTTTTCATTTGCTGATTTATTATCAACCATTAATGCATAGTGACTCTTATGGCTTAGGGCTAAGATATTGCTTGTTGCTATAAGGATACAGAACTAGATAAAACAAAGTCCTTGTTCTCCTGGAATCACTTTCCCAGAGTTTGGCAGAATGGGAAGAGGGCACATAGGAACAAAAGTTAAGCAAACTAACATGAAAATATCAGGTATTAATAACGATAAGGAGCAACAAAGAGAGACAAGGAATGACTTAAGATTGAAGCATCAAAGGAGGTTTCTCTTAAGAAGTTGCATTTATTAAGCTGAGCTCAGAATAACAAACTGTAATAACAACTGACATTTATCACAATATGTTGCCGGAAATGTAAAACCCTGTAGGTAGCCCTTCAGTAAATTATAAATTCAGTTATCTCTAAAATATGTACTCCTTATGAAAGTGAATCACATGCTTAACATTAAAGAATATAGTCAAACTAGTTTGAATTGCTATCTACACAATATTTCGAACACTAACATCTATGAAAATTTAGAATAAGTTTTCAAGGGTGAAAAATCCCTCCTAGTTTCAATATTATGTATTGTATAAAAGCATATATAAAACATGGTATTTGCATATAATTTTATTACATTAATAAAAATGACCGTCTTATCCCACTTAATGTTGAACCTGATATAAATCTGAAAAAAGAATGAACATTTCTTTAAGTTATTACTTCATCTTACTACCTTTACTCAGAAACCCAAGACCCATTTAAAAATTCCAGGCTACTGCCAGCAGGACTTCCACTTATTCTCAAATATGCTTGAAATTTTACTTTTAAGCCTGAGATCTGAATATCTGCAGTACTTATTGTTTCTACTTTTTAATTAACGGATTTCTATAGAAAACTAAGAACTATAGTTTTTACTATTCCTGATTATAGGATAAAAATGACAAAACCTATTAGCATTTAAAGAATCAAGCCTTTCCCCCAAAGATGAAACTGAAAAAATGGGAAAGATATTAAATATAGAAGCCACAATGGACATCTTATAATTACGTTCTAAAAGGTACACTGAAAATTACACTATATAGGTACACAGATCACAAACCAAAATGTCAATAYAGAGATATCAAATAAAAAGTACATGCAGCACAGATTTTGAATACTCTGTTCTGAATAGCAGAGTGAGAAAAAGTCACTGTCTTAAATATCTTCTCGAACTGTAGGCCATTTTCACTAGTGCTATGGTGCCACTGTAGGTAGAGAAGTCATAGAAGGACAAGAAAGAGAACTGTGTGAGGAAAAATCGCACTGGTCCCACACTTTACTCTCCTACCCCTCTTTTGATGTTGCCTAATAAAACACTCCTTAATTCAATGATTTGACAACAGAAAATGTATTGTATAGCTAATTTAAGTGTGGAAACTTTAAGTTCACGCAAAGGAGATCCTTCTCTGCTCTCCAAAAATACGGACAAAGCACAATTAAATCACAGGAAATTAATCACATTTAAAATCATCTATTCAATTACTTGACCAGAACTGTAAATCAAAGAAACTGTGAAACATTTTCAAAAGCTTTCAGTGATAACATTCTTTATTGGTATACACACATTTCAAACTTTTAAATTATATATATCATGCAAAACTGTCTCACATTTGWCTAATTGTTCATTGTGATGATCTTTTTTGAGATGATTATACATTTTAAAGTTATAATGACTGTGATAGTAAAAATAATACAGGAAAATGACTCTCAGTGAAATAAAACACTGCAGCACAAGTGAAAGTATTGTTCAAACGTTCTGTCTACTTAATTCTAAGGTARATCTACTTTGGAAGACTAATATACACAAAAATGGCAGTTATTTTTATATGTACATCTATAGGCACTCCACGTAACTGATAAGAAATCAGAAGGAAATCTGAAATAATTTTACAAGGTTTGGTTATTTTTTTTCCTGTTTTGTTAATCCAAAACAGGGCAATGCCCTTTTATTTAAAAAGCTTATGTTTGTTAGGCCTGGTGGCATGCACCTATAATCCCACCTAATCTGGRAGCTGAGGCAGGAGAATTGCTTGAGCCCAGGAGTTTGAGGCCAGCCTCCCAACATAGTAAGACTTCTTGTCTGAGAAAAAATAAAAACTCATTCCTTGTTTTCTTAGGAAGATAATTTTGCTCTATTTAAAAGGGAGTTTTTTCCCCCCGATAGTATTTTTGAATTGGGACTCTTATTATTTATGTTATTTTTAATAAGTGGAAAGGAACATGGCTTCCTATTGTGGCAGAGAAACTTAGGAAGAATCTTCTTCCTCTATGTGACACTGAGAAGAATTCTCTGAAGGGACAGATTCAATACATTGATCCTGCAATAGTTCTAGTAGTACTCCCTAGATTAAAACCTCTACCTAGCTCACTCCTTGAAATAACCAGTGATCTCAGGGAAAGGTGACTCTCAAATCTCTCAGAAACACATTCAAGTCAACTGGCAGTGCATAGACACCTGAAAGTGGAATGCTTTTTGGTAGCAGGTAACAAATACCAAAAAAGGTAGAAATGGCTTTAGAATTAAGCAGTGGGTAACGGCTGAAAGAATTCTGAGGAACACGACAGTAAGAGCTTCATTTGTCTTAAACAGATCGTTCATAGAAATCTGAAAGTTAATGCAAAGGAGGGCTTGAAGGAAGTTAAGGGGCTTGGTAGTGATTTAGGTATTCTCTAGGGTGAATAGCTAAACTGAYTGAGAATAGATTATTAGAAGAAATAATATATGAACTGTAAACTTAAACATTTAGTTATTTCCAAGCAGATCAGAAGATCTGATCTGCTTTCTTCCAGCTGATTGTAATCCAATGTAAAAGTAGACAGATAAACACAAGGAATCTAGGCCTGGATGACTTAGGAAATTCTCAGCCTACCCCACTGGCAAGACACTAAAATTTAGCGAGTCGTTGTCAGGAAAGCCTGCTCTACAGAAATATAAGGGTGTGGCTATATAACATTTTGCTGATACCCCAGAAAAATCAAGAGGTGAGTATTCTATCACACAGAAGGCTCTCTGAAGATATTAAGGGTGTGACTCACAGATCTCAATTATTTCAGGAAAAGCTAAAAACAGAGATAAAACTATTTAGGAAGATGTGTGGAGGAGTCTCCTATCTAATGGAGCTCCACAACATATGCAGGAGGCCCACAAGTTTTTGACAATATTATACCATCAGAAAGTCTGCTATCTTAATCTGAAAGGTATAGAATATGACATTTAAAAAGGAACAAAAAAGGTAATAAAACTGTTCAGCTGCTAACATGTCCTACTTTTGAGAAAAGGAAAGATGATGAGATGGAGTCACAAGCCTAGAGGACTGAGCTATGAGTCATACATTAATCCCAGGCCATGAAACCTAATGGAGTGTGCCTGGCTGGATTTGTAAACTGTTGGCTCCAGCGGCTCGGCTCCTTTCTTCACTCCATTGCCTGTTTTCTGAATAGGAGTTTAACTTTATTCTACAGCTGTTTTGCCATTACAATTCAGAGCAGATAATTTCTAGGTTCAAAGGTGGAAAGGAATTATGGCCTAGGAATCATACCCAGATCATCTCKTATATTTAACTTAGAGAATTTAAATGAAACTTGGGTTTTGAGCTGGTGAAACTCAGGTAATATTGTAGACTCTTGAGTTGATGTTTTAATAGGCTGAAAATTTTGAGCACCTCTAGATGGGGAGAATTTACATGGAATGGATGTGAATCTTTGAGAGAGGCATAAGACTAACTTGTCTCCTCCATGTTCATGTCTTAATCCCCAAACCTGTGAACATGTAACCTTAAATGGTAAAGGCGACTTTGTAGATATGATTACTATGGTTCTTAAGATGGGGGAGATTATCCCAAATTATCTGGTTGATCCAGTCTAATCACACAAGTCTTTAAAACCAGAGAAGTGTTACAGGCTATTGTCAAGAGAGATGCAATGGTGCACAAGCTACAAGCCAAGGAATGCAGGTGGACTCTTGAGGCTGGAAGGCTAAGCAAATGACTTGCCTCTAGAGTCCCCTCAAAGGAATGCAGCCCTGCCAGCACCTTCATTATGACACAGGAAGGCCATGCTCAACATTTATCTATAGAATTAAAAGATACCACATCTGTTACTTTAAACTATAAGTTCTATAATTTGTTATGGCAGCAATATGAAACTAACCAGAAGWGATGATCAAAGGTGAAGTGGCATCTGGGAAAAAGAAAAGCTTTCTCCTCATTCCTAATGTAACTTTCCCCATTTGGGAAGTACCTGGCTTCAGCAGAAATGGCAAATATTTATGAGGCTAATTCTTTAGATTCAGTCTTATCTGACTAAAGTTATATTCCTGTATTTATAGAGTAGTTTTTTTTTTTTTCTGGAGTAGAATACATTCTGGATTGAGCACTTAACAATAGTATTTAGTTGATCCCCTAGAAATATCTGTTGAATGAATAAATGAACATGATCGAGTCAGGCTCTGGGAGAGATTATAATTACTTGATTTTAAAGTGCTTCTTACTATATCTTCTCAAGAACCAATGACTTACAAAATACAAGGAAAAATCATATTTTGTAATACTAAATCAGTTAACTAAAGGAATGTGTAAAACCTTCATAGGAGAAATAATTATATAATCAAACAATTTCAAAATCAGAATACAGATACTTTAAGTATATATTAAAGAGAAATTTCAACTTATTTATCAAAAGAATTTTTAATGACTGTTGGTCACTGCTGCATCAGGAAAATTCAGTGTGAATTTCATCAATGAGTTTATCAAAAAGGGGTTTTGCTCATTTTCTCTGCAAACAAATGTTGCTACATTAATACTGGGCAAGTAACAAACAGGTTTGCCTAGGAATTTAAAAACTATCAACAGAAGCTAGCCCTGCAACAAACTCAAGATCTATCTGTAGTCCAAATTCATCTAAAGGCTGGAAGATAGAAAAACAATAAAACCAAAACTTATTTGTAGAAATGATAAAAAAATTTGGTTGTCTTTATGCTGGGAGTAGTTTTCTTATTAATATGGCACATTAACTATTCCTATATGCTATTGCATAGACAGCAGCAATATTATTTTAGTTGCTGGAGTATCACAGTGTTAAGAATATCTGCTTCTTGTAGAGTCAGGCTTTCATCTGTCAGCACTTTATTTGGAAATGAAGTCACCAGAATGAAGTCAAGAGTTGCAAATTCAGGACGGGACTGTATAATAAAGTTCCGAACATCCAGTATCCTAAAGAAATAAGACAAAAATAATTTGTTATAGAAAATGCATATTTTCATGCAAGCTATTAGCTACAATCATATAATCATAATAAAAAATTACATAATTCCAACTGTGATTTAAACATGCTTTGGRCTGGGGCTTGGGCTCAGTGGCAGAGTGCTTGTCTAGCATGTRTGTGGCAATGGGTTCGATCCTTAGCACCGTGTACAAAAATAAGCAAATAAAATAAAGGCATGCTATACATCTACAATTACAATAAATAAATAAATAAATAAATAAATAAGCTGTAACTTTCTTAAATTAAAATAATTTCAATGGAAGAATTCATCTTAGTTCTTCAAAGTGAAATATGAATATTAACTTTGGAGTGTACCTAACATTTACTGTAAAATAGAAACAATCTTTAGACAACTTATTAAAAAAAGTTATTAACAATATTATTATATTTAAAGTAYAGGCCATAGTTTTTTTAGGATATAGAATATATTAGCAGAATGACTCAGAAAAAGGTAAGTTGGACTGGCATATGGAAGGGTGAGTCTAAAACTATGCAAAGTGTTAAGTTGTAGAAATAATTCTAAAAATCACTTTTACACATGCACAGTAACTCAACTAAAATTATAAATGTATTCTTTACAGTCTTTTTCGATGAACAAATAAAGTAAAAATAAATATTAAAGGGACATTWAAAATTGTTTATCTGAAGTATTATAGTTAATGACACATAAACTTATATTAAATTACATCTGATTCTACTTCATATGGTTTTAGCAACAATGCAAAACTATAGCTCTTAGTTTTTGTATGATAGCTGAATTAACATTAATATTTGGATGGTTTACAGGGATTACCATCTATTTCATTTCTTATGCACAGCTATTATCTTATTATTTTTTTTTGTACTGAGGATTAAACCCACTGGTGCTCTACCACTAAGCTACAACCCCAGTTCATTTTGAGTCAGGGTCTTGCCAGTTACTGAGGGTCTCACTAAGTTGCTGCAGCTGGCTTCCTGTGTCAGTCTCCTAGGACCGTGGAATTACAGGTATGTGCCACTATGCCCAGCAGGTTTTATCCTTTCAAATATTTCTTTCTGACAAAAATTTACTTTGAAAGTGAAGCTACAGAATGTCATATTATGTATTACTCAAGTTGTATACAGTGTTAGTTTAGTAACAGCAAACTAGACACTTAGATGGTAAAGCAGCTTACCTGTGTGTACTATTGAATCTTTGTACCAGACGACTCCCATCTGCTAACCTGATTTGAATTTTTGTAGTTGGCACTGAATCATCAATAAGAACAACTGCATTAAGTATTGACTTATCCTCTTCTTCTGGGGAGGAAGGTGTACTGACTATCTCAGGTGTAAGGCTAAGAAAGAAGAATTTAAGAATTAGAACACAACTGAATATACTAGACATGACCAACTAAAGACAGTAAACACTTAGATCTATGGCTGATTCTAAAGTTATCCCTCATATAACTTTTGGACAAAGAAGAATATGATTTTATTTTAGTTTCCTCCACTTCTTTCAATCTCTTTTGTTATATTAAAATTCTTTGGGGTCTGGGGATGTGGCTCAAGTGGTAGTGCGCTCGCCTGGCATGCGTGCGGCCCGGGTTCGATCCTCAGCATCACATACAAACAAAGATGTTGTGTCCGCAGAAAACTAAGAAAAATAAATAAATATTAAAAAAATTCTCTCTCTCTTAAAAAAAAATTCTTTGGGATCCCATGATGCTCATTTATTTATGTAATCTCTCAAAAACCTAAGTTTGCATCCTTTGCATCTTTATCTCTGTGATATTTCAACAGTTTAGTTAGAAACCAAAGCAAATTTGAGTTGATGTCAAAGAATGACAGATAAACTTTATTTCAAATCTCAGCTGTTAATTATGTAAAACTGAGTAAGTCAATTTCTTTGAATTTAGTTCTATCCTTTATAAAATGGGGGAGGGGAAGATAATACTGTTACAAAGGCATGTTACCCCAGTAAGTCCTTAATATGCCATGTAGAAGACAATGTCTCAGGTGGCAGCTATTATTGCACATACTAACAGCATCAAACAATATTGTTTGGCTAGTATTATTTAAAAATATCTGATTTCAGTAGTTACTGCTTTGCAAAAATGAAAAAAAAACCCAAGTATTAAGAAAGAATGTATTTTTGTTCATGGTGATACACTTATAATGAAGTTTCTTCGAACATTGCTTTCTAATGCTAACAAGATGATYGGTCATTATAAATTAAAAGCTTATGTCAAAATAGAGTGATCTTTTGGTTATAATTAGAACAAATGGAGCCAAATTCTTTGTAAAAAAATAAAATCAATATTCTCTCATTTTGGGGGATTCTTTCAGAGTGTTAACATTTATACTAAAATATTGAGATTTAGATGGATTCTTTTTTTTTTAACCATACGATTTATTTTCATTTTTTTAGTCATATGTGACAGAATGTATTTTGACATATAATACATACATGGAATGTACATACATCAATCATATTGTCTATTCTATTCTGCTGCCCTTCCTATCCTCCCTACTTTCCCCTCCTCTCCCATCCTTTCTCTCTATCCAATCTAATGTGACACACTTTTTTTTTTCTTTTTCTCATTACAACATCATATATGTATTCTGTATAACAATGAGATTCTCCTTCCGTCTTCCGTGCAACTCCTCTTCTCCCTCTTTTTCCCTCCCACCTCTCTTCCCTATTTAGTGGTAGTCTTCTTTTCATGCTCTTCCTCCCTATCCCATTTTGAGTCACCCCCCTTATATCAGAGAAGACATTCGGCATTTGTTTTTTAGGGATTGGCTAACTTCACTTGGCATAATCTGCTCTAATGCCATCCATTTGCCTGCAAATGCCATGATCTTGTTATTTTTTAGTGCTGAGTAATATTCCATTGTATATAAATGCCACATTTTTAATYCATTCATCTATGAAGGGCATTAGATGGATTCTATATGAGTTAATTTCTTATATGAAAGTTCTATGAACATTTGAGCTTTAGAGCAAAATAAAAACAAAGTTATCATACCTCTTTCCTCCTATCCAGAAAGTTTCTCAGAATATACAGTAAGGTAGTCAACTCACTTCTGCTTTCTTTAGCTAACACTTTCCCTGTCTTTAGCAACTTCCTAACACAGATTTTAGAAACTGAGACTATATATGGCACACGCGAAAAAATGAAAATAACAATTTATAATAAATGACCAGACATTAAGAATTTTTTTCCCTCAAGTTTGGAATTGAGGACTTAAGTAGTTGCATGACCAAGCTGGTTTATTGTACCAATAGTCCAGTGTCCTTTACCCAAAGCAGAGGAAAGAAAATCAAAGAGAAGATACAGAATGCTAAGGACCTTCTCTACCTCACCAATAATCAGCTACATACATTATTAACACCCTCTACCACCATCATCAACATCACATTATTTCCTTTAAATCATGCTGTGATGCAATGCTGCATAATGGTTAACAGCATAGATCCTGAAGTCAGATTACTTGGTTATAATTTGCCACGGATAAGGTGTGTGAGCTTGGGCAGGTCACTAACCCTCACTGTGCCCGAGTTTCCTTGTTGGTRAAAGAGACAACAGCACTATTGTTGTAAAGATTAAATTCATTAGGATACAAAGGCATTTCAATGATCTTACGAAGTTGTTAATACTTGAAGGTGAGCTCTGAACATTAAAATTCTTATTCTAAGGACAACTCTGGAAAGAAAAACTAGCCCCATTAACCCTATTGATAAATGAGGAATGTTTTGGGCTCACTTCCATGATATAAAACTGCCTCAGATTGATACTTCTGTAATCTAATGTTTTGTGTTTAGGAAATTCCGATCAGACAAGCTTCTTCTAAAACATGAAAGTACAGAAKGGGGAAACCAGGTAGGGAAAGAACGATCATGTGTTTCTTTTTAAAATGTGTGTATGTCAAAATGAAATTATGTGAACAACATTTGAAACAGACATGGATGAACTTTCAAGATCATATAGGCCCCCATATCATTTTTTCAGAAAGGATTGAGTCATAGATCAAAAGACATGCTCAGAATCAGAGATAAACAGTGGATGAGATGAAGATATGGTTTAAACAAACCATTTTAGAAAATTAAATTTACTACTGAGATTTCAAAGTCACACTTATTTGCTACTTAAAACTTTCTGTTTGTCATTCAATTGATAAAACCATAGTAATATTTTTACATAATGGTTTAAYGTTTTAAGCTTTACATTAAAAAWTTTTTTTTAAAGAAAGTGAAGTTAATTGGTGAAACAACATTTCTACGMAAATAAGAGGAAAGGATATGAGGGTACTAATTCCCTCAAACAGGAGGAAAACCACATTTTTCTTCAAATTCAATGAAGGTGAGAAGGGTACAYAGAGACATTAATAGACTTGGATGCAGAGAGTAATAAAGTTCCTGTTAAAAAGAAAAACTCAAATTATCCCTATTTGCACATGACATGACTTTATAGAAGACCCCAAAATTCCACTAGAAAACTTCTAGAACTCATAAATAAATTCAGCAGAGTAAAATTAACACATGTAAATCAATTGTGTTCTTATACATCAGTGATAAATAAACTGAATGAGAAATTAAGAAAACTACCCCATTCACAGTAGCCTGAAAAAAATATATGGGAATCAACGTAACAAAAGCAGTGAAACACCTCTACAATGAAAACTACAGAACACTAAAGAAAGAAATTGAAGACGACCTTAGATAATGGAAAGATCTCCCAAGTTCTTGGACAGGCAGAATTAATATCTTCATAGAAATAGAAAAAGCAACCATGAAATTCATTTGGAAAAATAAGAGGCCCAGAGTAGACAAGGCAATCCTCATTGAGAAAAGTGAAGCAGGAGGCATCACAATATCAGACCTGAAATTATACTACAGGGCTATAGTAACAAAAACAACATGGTATTGGCACAAAAACAGACACAAAGACCAACTGTGCAACAGAGAAGACACAAACACACATGGATAYAGTCATCTCACACTAGACAAAGGCCCCATAAGTATAGACTGGAGAAAAGATAGCCTCTTCAACAAACGGTGCTAGGAAAACTGGAAATCCATATGCAACAAAATGAAATTAGATCCTTGCACAAAACTCAAAGTGGATCAAGGACCTCAACATTAGACCAGAAACCCTGCACCTACTAGAAGAAAAAGTAAGCCCAAATCTACATCATGTTAGCTTAGGAATTCTTCAACAAGATTCCTAAAGCACAAGAGTAAAA